GTGTCGCGCTTTGTCGCACCAGACCCTCCTGTGGCACCACCGCCTTGGTCACCCCTCGGTGCAGCGCCTTCGTGGCATGCACTCTCGCTTCCTGGTTTCTGGTCTTCCCAGGTCTTTGCCTGCCCTGCCTCCCTCGCTTGCGCCGCCCTGCATTCCTTGCGTCGAGAGGCGGCAGCGCGCCGCTCCTCACTCCTCCTCGTTCCCTCCCACAGAGGCTCCCCTGCAGACTCTCCGCCTGGACGTGTGGGGCCCAGCCCGCGTCCGTGGACAGGGCCACGAGCGGTACTTCCTGCTGGTTGTTGACGACTACACGCGTTACACCACGGTCTTTCCCCTGCGCAGCAAGGGGGAGGTCCCTGCTGTTTTGATCCCTTGGATCCGCGCTGCCCGTCTCCAGCTCCGCGAGCGGTTCGGGACGGAGTTTCCCGTCCTGCGTCTGCACTCTGACCGAGGTGGTGAGTTCTCCTCAGACCTCTTGGCAGCCTTCTGTGCGGAGCACGGCATCACCCAGTCGTTCACGCTTCCGGCCTCTCCGCAGCAGAATGGGGTTGCTGAGCGCCGCATTGGCTTAGTCATGGAGGTCGCTCGTACCTCCATGATCCATGCGGCTGCCCCCCATTTTCTGTGGCCGTTTGCGGTCCGGTACGCCGCGCATCAGCTCAACCTCTAACACTGTGTCTCCTTGCCGGAGACCTCGCCCACGCTGCTGTGGACGGGGAAGGTTGGCGATGCGTCGCGTTTCCGGGTCTGGGGTGCTCGTGCCTTTGTCCGCGATACCACCGCGGACAAGCTCTCCGCCCGCGCTGTTCCCTGTGTCTTCCTTGGCTTTGTCCCTGACGCGCCTGGTTGGCAGTTTTACCACCCCACCTCGCGCCGTGTCTTTGCGTCTCAGGACGTCACGTTCGATGAGTCGGTTCCCTTTTACCGTCTCTTCCCCTACCGCACTGCCCCTCTCCCTCCCCCGCCGCTCTTCCTCGCTCCAGGTGCTCCCCAGGTAGACCCCCTCCCCGCTCCCGGTCCTGCTCCTTCAGGTGTGTCTCAGGTAGACCCTCCTCCCTTCCCTGCGCCGGTCGAGGTCACTGGTGATTCGGGTCCTACTGGGGGTGGTCCTGCTCGGGGTGCTACTTCTGGGGGTGCTGAGCCTGGGGGTGCGGCGCCTGGGGGTACTGGACTTGGAGGTACTGAGCCTGGGGGTGCGGAGCTTGAGAGTGTGGAGCCTGGAGGTGCTGAGCCTGCGTGTGAGGGGTCTGGAGGTGCTGGAGCTGGTGGTTCTGGGGCTGCTGAGGGTGCGAGCGCTGGAGGTTCTGGAGCTGCTGGAGGTCCTGGTGCTGGTGGCGCTGGAGCTGGTGGTTCTGGGGCTGCTGAGGGTGCGAGCGCTGGAGGTTCTGGAGCTGCTGGAGGTCCTGGTGCTGGTGGCGCTGGAGCTGCTGAGGGTGCTGGCGCTGAGGGTTCTGAGTCTGCTGTTGCGCGGTCTCCTTGGAGTAGCCGCCTTCGTCCGCGTGTGCCTCTCACCTCACAGCAGCTGCACGACTGGTACGGTCGCCGTCAGGGTCGCGCTTCTGGAGCTAGGGGCTCTGCTCCTGGAGGTCCTTCTGCTGCTGTCACTGGAGCTGGGAGTGGTGCTGGTCCCGGCGGTACTCGTACTGGGGGTACTGGAGCTGCTGGGGCTGGAGGTGCTGAGCCTGCGGGTGCTGCTGCTGGAGACACTGCGGTTGGAGACCCTGGGACTGGGGGTGCCGGTTCTGGGGGTGCTGCTGCTGGTGGAGCTGGTCCTGGAGGAGCTGGTGCTGAGGTTTCTGGAGCTTCTGGAGGTGCTGGAGCTGCTGGGGGTGCTGGAGCTACTGGTGCTGGTGGCACTGCCCAGCCGCGCCTGTTCTTTGCTCCACCGTCTCCGTCGTCTCAGCCTCCGCGTGACTCTGTGCTTCGCCAGGTTCTTAGTCTCCCTTCGTCTACTGGTCTTCCGTTACAGCCTGGCTCACCGCTGCCTGCTCCTTCTCCTTACACTGAGCAGACAGGGGGTCCTGCTGAGCGTCGTGAGCCTGCGTCGCGTCCTGTCTCGCCTGTTCGTCCTGGTCGTACCGGTCGTCGTGTTCCTCGTCCGCGTCAGCCGGCTGTCCCCGGCACACGCCTTGTAGCCCTGCGTCGGTCCCCTACTCCGGAGCGTACTCCTCTTCCGTCTCCCCCTGCGTCCTCTTTGCCTGACGTCGCGGACCCTGAGTCTGACTGGTTTCGTGCTGAGCACCCTACTGTCACGCGTCTGCTAGCCACTGTTGTCACTGACCCGTCGTTTGAGTCTGCTGCTGCGTCTGCCCTGGTCGCTGAGCTTGTTGAATTTGCTGCTGCCTGTCGTCTAGACTACGCTGCTAGTCTTGTTGCTGAGTCTCTCTGTCCTCCGTCCGTCGGGGGTGAGTGTGCTCTTGGCACGGACGTCCTTGAGGACAGGCACGAGGACCTTGAGTGTCTTGCAGCCGCTGCGCCTCATCTCGTGGCCATGCTGCTTGCCCCTGAGGGAGACCCGGATGCTATAGACATCCCCACACCGCGCTCTTACGCTGAGGCGATCGCGGGTCCCTACTCCTCTCAGTGGCAGGCAGCCATGGACGCAGAGATGGCATCCTGGAAGTCCACAGGCACTTACGTCGATGAGGTTCCCCCTCCTGGGGCGAACATCGTCGATGGCATGTGGATTTTCAGGGTGAAGCGGCCGCCAGGTTCTCCGCCTGTCTTCAAGGCGCGTTACGTTGCTCGAGGCTTCAGTCAGCGAGAGGGAGTTGACTTCTTCCAGACCTTCTCCCCCACCCCGAAGATGACTACTCTTCGGGTGCTGCTGCACGTTGCCGCTCAGCGTGACTACGAGCTTCACTCCCTTGACTTCAGCACAGCTTTCCTACAGGGCAGCCTGCACGAGGAGATCTGGCTGCGCCGCCCACCTGGCTTCACTGGGTCGTTCCCTTCTGGTACCCAGTGGAGCCTCCGCCAGCCAGTCTACGGTCTCCGCCAGGCACCCCGTGAGTGGCACGACACACTGAGGACTACCCTTGCGGCTCTTGGGTTTGCGCCTTCGACTGCTGACCCTTCACTGTTTCTGCGCACCGACACTTCGCTGCCGCCGTTCTATATCCTCGTGTACGTCGACGACTTGGTCTTTGCTACTGCTGACACTGAGGCCCTCGCCCTGGTGAAGTCCGAGCTGCAGAAGAGACACACGTGCACAGACCTGGGTGAGCTGCGCAGCTACCTTGGCTTGCAGATCACCCGGGACCGAGCACGCCGCACCATCACACTGACTCAGTCACACATGGTGCAGCAGGTCCTTCAGCGCTTCGGCTTCACCTGGTCCTCAGCACAGGCCACTCCTCTGGCTATAGGTCACTCGCTCTCAGCTCTGCCTTCGGATGAGTCCGTAGAGCCGAGTGGTCCTTACCCAGAGCTAGTGGGCTGCCTCATGTACCTGATGACTTGCACTCGTCCTGACCTTGCGTACCCTCTTGGCCTTCTGGCTCGCTACGTGGCTCCTGGTCGGCACCGAAAGGTGCACTGGGATGCTGCGAAGAGGGTACTGCGCTACTTGTGCAGTACATTGGGCATGGGGCTCGTGCTTGGAGGACGGCGAGAGGTGGTCCTCACTGGGCACTCAGACGCTTCTTGGGTTGACGACCAGGCTACGCAGCGGTCGTCACAGGGTTACACTTTCAGCCTTGGCTCTGGTTCTGTTTCTTGGCGTTCTACTCGCTCGTCTTCTGTTCTCAGCTCCAGTTGTGAGGCTGAGATCTACGCCACCGCCATGGCTGCTCAGGAGTTACGCTGGCTCACCTACCTGCTGACCGACTTGGGAGAGCGGCCTCGTTCTCCTCCAGTTCTGTACGTCGACAACAAGGCTGCCATTGCCTTGTGTGAGGAGCACACACTGGAGCACAGAACGAAGCACATCGCTCTGCGTTACTTCCTAGCTCGAGAGTTGCAGCAGCGTGGTCAGCTTCGTCTTGCACACGTGGCCACTCGGGCCAACACTGCTGATATATTCACCAAGGCACTTCCGTCTGGTGATCATCAGCGCTTTTGTACTTTGTTAGGCCTTGTGCCTACGTTTCCACACTTGCTGTAGTCTTTTGTGTGTACTGTGCTCTATATTTATACCTGCATGCTTGCTCTTGCTAGGTATTGATCACTGTACTGCTCTTGTTGCTTATATATATATATATCTCTGCATGTGGACTGGCTTTGCTTGTGCTCAGTTTGTGTGGTGACGTTGTGATCCACCCTGAGCTTGTTTTGTGTTTCTTGACTGGTCTTGTGACCCCTTGTTCTCCCCCACTTTGCCTATGGGGGTGTGTCAAACTGTATATCTTATACCCTTGTGTAGGCTGTAGTGGGGTAGCCCATAAAGGGTACAACCCAATGTTAGGGTTAGGATATGTACCCAACTCTGTTTCAATCCAACTCATTCCTGTCCCTACTTTCTAACAGTTGATGGTCGATGCGACGCGCAGCTATCCATTTTTCACTTTGGCCTAAACTTAGCAACTGCAGAGAAAGCTGCTGCTATATCAACCAAATGGCTGCACTATCAGCAACGTTTGAGCCAAACTGGCAACTCTTGAGTGCTTTTATTTGTTGGATAACTGCCATGATAGACATAACTGCACCTAAGCAGCCGGTAATCATGAATGAGTTGATATCTCAGACAACAGGTACTTGGAAAATCACTTGAAGAACGGTTTCACTAATCAACCAAAGTACCACTGCACTGCAACATTCCTTAAAATCATATTACTCACAAATAAAAGCCTTGAAAGACTCAGAAAATTAGAAAAATGTCTGACAGTAGCAGAAAGAAATCTAACAAAACTTCCATTCCAACGATGCTAGAACTCCAACCCTATGAGAGTTCCAGTAACACCTGGTACGTAACAACATGGTACAGTACACTGCCAAGTTATGGATACGTTGAAATGAGATCACCCCTACTACTTAAGGCCCCACCCATACAATGGCAACATTCACTTTGGCACACAAAGAGATTGAACCCCTACAGTTTCTGCGCATGCCCTGCCATTGTATTCAGCAAATTTTGCAGCTGCTCCAAATTTTGCTCCACCAAAGAAGCTGAAAGCACCCGAGCATGGGAGCAACGGTGAGACCACCTTGAGCCTGCCCATCTTGCAAGTGTTAGAATTGATGGACTCGTAGTCTGCCTTGAGACAAACCTGGGATAGAAGGAGCAGAGAGTGCAGACAAAAAGGGTAAAACAAACAGATCTCAGAATGCAATGGCCAGAGTAGATGATAAAACTGGAAACCTACCATGTTCTTTAAAATTGACATACCAACCCTCACCTGCGTGCTGGCAACAGAGGCACTGGAGGCAGGGGTGGTGCGGGGGCAGATGATGCCAGGATTGTTGCGGTAGAGACCAATCCAGCTGGCAGTCATCACTTGAACCCCTGTGGACCCATCCCCACTTGAATCCATGCTCTGCAGCAGCAAGCTCTCGCACGTGTCCTGAGGTGAGAGCATGCTGTACTGCAAGCACCGAGGGACGGTGAAGGCGAAGGTGGCGTTGCGCTCGATGCAGAGAGAGCGGCCCGCCTTGATGGGCTCAGAGAAGTCCAGCCCGGGATTGAGAGAGGCAAGGTACGTCGATGCGAGTCCCAGCTGGACGCTGATAGAGGAGCAGGTGTCGCCCTGGAGGGTGGAGTGAGGGAGGGAGGAGACAAGAGATGGCTTGGTGCAGATGATACGTGTTTACAACGGGCTGTCACCGGCTAAGAAACTAGTCCACTTAAATTGGAGAAGGGGGGGTTGTCCCCTTGAACAACAACAGGAAAAGCAGGATCAATTGATTCAACTTCCCTGGTCCAGGCTCACTTTGAGGGCATAGAAGAATGCAGTGCAGGGGGTGGCGGGAGCGCTTTCCAGCGCAATCACCTTGCCCTGTGGCAAAGGCTGGTCGCACTTAACAGCCTGCAATTGAAAGAACACGCAGAACCGATTAAAAATAAAGTGTGGCGGTAGATATATCACAGGTAAGGTGATGCTCACCGTTGCCGCCACTCAACTTGCCGTTTCCATGCAAGTGTGTCCATAGCTTTGCCCTCTCACCATGTTTTGCGATGTGAAGCCAGCCAAGGAGACGCTGACCACAGGGGAAACATCCGAGCACCGCCAGTTGGCGCCGTTGACTGTCAACATGGAGGCTGTTGTGTTGGCTGGAGCAAGGAGAGGAGAGAGGCAGGTAGAGAAGGTGAGGAGGGAATGCAGATGAGATCATGCCTCACGACAATGGATGGTGTATCTTGAAGATCAACAAACAACCCGTCAAAGTGCATTTTACACTTTCTTTACACAATCGAGCTGTTTTCAAGAGTGTGCAAGTGGGGCCAACATGGTAGCACATCACCTAGGTCGCAGGTGGGGAGGTTGTCAGCGGTTATGCTGCCAACGTAGTTGGGAGGGCAGATGCAGGAGTAGGCGCCCTTGCCATCATTGATGCATGTCCCCACAGCGCAGGGGTTGGTAGAGTAGGAACCGCACACATCAACTGTTGGGTTGGCAGCAGGGAGGAGATGGGTGGTGGAAGATGGGTTATAAGGTGCAACACGCTTGCACCTGTGTGGGGGAAATGGGAGGAGGGAAGCCGAGGTGGGGGGAGGGAAGGGGTGAGGGGAGGGGGGGAGGGGAAGGGCGTGGAGGACACCTGCGTTGAGATCCAAAGCATTCAAACGAGAACCAGTGATGACCAGCATTTGGGAGGGCAGATGCAGGAGTAGGCGCCCCTGCCATTAACATGCTTAGAAGCCATGATGCCACGGCTGCATTTCCATTGCGGACGATCTCCACACGTACTGCAAGGGAAGAGCAATGCACCGTGGTTCAGAGAGACATGTTTGTGCATAAGAACGACTCACCATATGCACATGTGTTGGAGCCAGACCCATTTGGAACTTCAACAAAGGGCTGCTTGGTCTCATTCGGTATGGTGCAGTTGCAGGTGTTGCTGTTGGTCTTTGTGTTCGGCTGGCAGGTGAAGCGCCCACACGGGTTCATGCTGGGCTGCAGATCCCCACTGCCCTTGTAGCTCTTCTGACCACATGGATCCTTGGGAACTGGCAGAGTGGTGGGAAGGACAGGTGAGTTAGCATGTCTGAACAATGGGACATGCATGTAAGTGAGCTGAATCCAAAACTATGAAGGTGTCCCGCCTGCTGAGTGAATACAGAAGGTGTACATGATGTTGCAAACAGAAACGATTGACAATGTGGTACATGCCTCACTCCTGACAATGAATAGATGTCTCACTCTTGACAATGGGGTAGATGCCAGGCAGCACGTTGATGCCACATACGCCATCCCCTCCCTGAATGCCCATGCGCATGTGGCCCCTGTCGCCCCACTCCACTCCCCACGAGTTGCGGATGATCCAAAACGGTGGAGCAGTGGGGCTTTGGCGGCCACTGTTTGTGAAAAGGAGGTACCCAACAACGAGTACAGCATGGTCCAGGTTGCCAGTGTAGCAGTCAGGATCCTGATACTTGAAGGTCTGGAGGAGAGAAGGAGATGGTGAGAAAAGGGAAGGAAGACACAGATGCGGCCTCAGGAGGCTTGCGGTTACCTATATCGGTTCCATGTGGTCACCAATAAGAGCACCCATGTCAGTTGAAGGTACTTGCAGCTCAACAAAGGACGAGTTGCGTCTTAGACAGAGACGCAGGCATGGCAAGGAGTTCCCATTGGGATGCTGACAAGGAAGCACTATGAGCACATGATGAGAGTACCAGTACTCACCCCGTCATATTGTACAAACGAGGTAGAAGAGGCTTCAATGTGAACCACCACTGGCTGTCGTCGCACTGCCAGCATGAGCCCCATGTAACCCTTGAACCTCGTGCGCTCAAAGCCCTGGATGGGGTACCTTGATGGCTGTGGAGAAAACAGCAGAGAATGGAAGGAAGATGAATGAATATAACGAAAAAAGGTAACCAGGAATGTGTACCAATTGTAGAGTCGAATTCTATCTTGCTGACCTCACAGCCATTGTTTCTGTCCACCTGCTGCGCCACCCGTGAATTCTTGTCTCGGAGGCACTGCTATCTGCACATCACCGGCATATACTGCTATGCCACTCTCTACGTTTTTGTAGGGTCGCTCGTAAATGTTTGCACAGGCTCTCTCACTCAAAGCTCTCTCCTACCGGCTTGCTGTCCGTTGTGAGTCCACCAGAGGGCAGAGTGAGAAGCTTTTCAAAGGCCGCGGCAGGAGAGCCGCCTGCCATGCACTTGGCAGTGAGGGAGGTGAGCCCCATGGCTGCAAAGAGCGAGTCCACTGACAGCCGTGGCGCCTCACTGCTCAGCGCAATGCCGTACGCTGCCTCCACACTCGCCACCACCGCATACGCCCAACTCGCACCTGAACGGGGCAATTTGAGAGGGGAATGGAATGCAGAGGTTGATTGAATTTAACGCCGCAGATGTCACTCCAAGGAGCATTACAGGTATAGAGAGAGTGCCAGGGGTGAAAAACATCACAACAGTTCTGTCCCCATCCATCTACTCCCAACTGCCCTCACGCCTAGGCACAATCAAATGGCAACCCTGAGCATGTTCGTCCCGAACCGAAAATGCTTGATTCTGGTCAAACAGTTTTTTTTCTGCAACTCGATGTTCGATGTTTACAAGTCGAACTTTCACGACTTATGGGTTTGGTTCACGCTCCATATTTTCATCAGAAAACCACTGTGAGATGTGGATAGGAACTATCGAAGTATGTCTGAACGGGCTTATGTGCAAGTCAAGGTCTTGAAATTAATAGTTGCGACAATGTTAAACATCACCTGCACAACCCAACTCATGTAGCAGTGCTTCACTTTTGGGAGCCGAAACGAACCGTAACAACTCGAGCCAACATCTTTGAGTCCAAATTTCTCAGGAACAAAGAAAAAACCTGTTCGCGTCAACTCAAACAGGGTTAATTTTTTTGCTAAACCATTTTCATGCCCACTCACTGCAGTCATCCTGGTTCTTGACCGGCCAGCCGAGGAAGGGCATGGAGTCCCAGGAGTGGGAGCCGCTGACTTGCCAGACACTCTGCTGGTTGGCCAACACCTGGTAGTCCGCACTCATGTAGCGCATGAAGGGACTGGCTCCCACTGGCGCATAGGACGCCACAGAGAGAGTCAGTCCAAAGGCTGGGCATGGCAGGCAGGAGGGGAGATGGGGAGGCATGTGGGTGCTTGCTCATGTGTGCATGAGTTGTTCTTTTTGAATGGCTGGAAATATGGGCAAGGCAGAGAAAGTGAATGCACGAGGGAACGTTGTAGAATAAAAACACAAGAGAAAGAAGCCGAATGACGCCCATGCAGGGATTTGATGAGAATGATGATAGTTTCCCAGGAATGTCTTCCTGGGAAGGGGCTGTTTACCTGGAACGATGTCTACCGGCTTGCGTGGAGCTGGAAGGCCTGCAGAAAAAGGGAAGCACGACGGACATACAGGCATGGGAGCCATAGCTCGTTAATCTGGCTAAAAGCATGGTGAGGAGCATACAAGCAGTTCAACCTCCTCCTCACGATCATCATCAGCATCACTGTCATGACCACCACCACCACCATAACATTGAAGCTGTCCTCACCAGTGCGGACTCCCGATCGGAGGATGAGATGCATCTGGAAGGGCTTCACAGTGGTGGACGCCACGAAGCCAAAGAAGAACGCCGACTGCTCTGCTCCAGCCTGCAGCACCTCACACAGCGCCAGCCTCCTCTCCAGCAGCGGCTCCACTGGCTTCACCTCCGTGGCAGCCAAAAACACCTGGATGGTGCCGGGTTCCCCAGGCTCATAGTCCACCCACGCTGTGTACGCCTTTCTGTTGCTCAGCTCAAACGGCGACTTCACAGCGGCTATTGACTGGTCCTGGCCTTGAATGTTCAGCCCCACATGCGGGGTGCTCATATCGCCATGCTGCTTGTCCACCGTGGTGTCGAATTCAACCGCCATGCTGCGGCTGTCCATGCCACCATACCCCACTCCAGATCCACTCCCCACCCGGTCCGTTGCCGAGACGACAAAGGCGAAGCCATTGTTGCCAACACGGCCGGATCGAGGGGAGAGGGAGAAGGTGAAGTTGGCCTGGAAGGCGAGCTGCACTCCACACCCCGCCACCTCCTGCCCTGCCCCGTACACAAACAGAGGCACCGGAGCCGCAGTGAAATTCCCCCCAGTCTCCTTCTGCGTCCCCTTGGTGAGCATGGTTGTTGGCGGGAGAATAGGCTGGTTGACAAAGGTACTGTTGGTGCTGCCCGAGGTACTGTTGGTGCTGCCCGAGGTACTGTTGGTGCTGCCCGAGGTACTGTTGGTGCTGCCCGAGGTACTGTTGGTGCTGCCCGAGGTACTGTTGGTGCTGCCCGAGGTACTGTTGGTGCTGCCCGAGGTACTGTTGGTGCTGCCCGAGGTACTGTTGGTGCTGCCCGAGGTACTGTTGGTGCTGCCCGAGGTACTGTTGGTGCTGCCCGAGGTACTGTTGGTGCTGCCCGAGGTACTGTTGGTGCTGCCCGAGGTACTGTTGGTGCTGCCCGAGGTACTGTTGGTGCTGCCAGAGGTACTGTTGGTGCTGCCGGAGGTACTGTTGGTGCTGCCCAACGTACTGTTGGTGCTGCCCGAGGTACTGTTGGTGGTGCCCGAGGTACTGTTGCTGCTGCCCGAGGTGCTGTTGTTGCTGCCGGAGGTACTGTTGGTGCTGCCCGAGGTACTGTTGGTGCTGCCGGAGGTACTGTTGGTGCTGCCCGAGGTACTGTTGGTGCTGCCCGAGGTACTGTTGGTGGTGCACGAGGTACTGTTGCTGCTGCCCGAGGTGCTGTTGTTGCTGCCGGAGGTACTGTTGGTGCTGCCCGAGGTACTGTTGGTGCTGCCTGAGGTACTGTTGGTGCTGCCCGAGGTACTGTTGGTGCTGTCCGAGGTACTGTTGGTGGTGCCTGCAAACATGCCGGGCATACAAGCAGAATGACTATGGGTGAGTATTCTCAATCAAGGCAGATGATGATGAGGTGAGCCCACTGAAGAGCAAAACCAGAGCAGTGACATCAGATGAAGGGTGCAATGCAGTGACGCGGCGGTGCCCATTCCATGTTCTGTTTGTACCGGGTCCAGGGAGCTCCCTACCGTCAGCCACGCAGGTGAGCCTTCCAGATTGGATGAATCCCGCATTGCACAGACAGGCTGGGGCCAGGGTAACCTCGTCTGGAACGCACACCCCTCTTCCACCACAGGGAGCAGCTGCAGCTGCAGAGGAGACGCCACAGAATGCATTGCATGCTGCTTCCTGCCGCTGCTCCGCCAGGGAGCAGTTAGGAGGCAGTGTGAAGCAGTTTGCTTCGAAATTGCGAGACTGGCATGCCTTGTCGGGCAGAGGGCCCGAGAGGAAGTTGTTGGAGAGACGCGGGGTGCTTATGGCGGGAAGTGTGATGGGGCCTGTGAGGTAGTTGTTGGAGAGGTCGCTGGGATAAGGGGGGAGAGGGGGGAAGAGGAAGCAAGAATGCATGTGAGGGATGCAAGAACTTGAGCTTGAACTGATACATTACGTAATGAGATCGAGGCTCTTAAGTACCTTGGAAATAAGCAAGGGATGGATGGAGAGGGAATCGGGTCGGGACCAATCCAAAGGAGATGGGTTAAGATCTCCGATTGGTGGGTTGGAAATTTCGGTTGATTAAATTTAAGTGAGGTTGAGATTGGGGTGTACACGCAACCAGCACAAACTACATACAAACTACGTTAATCTTGGATGTATAAAAATTACAAGTACAAAAGTTGAGATTGAGGGCTAACACTAACGCGGGATGCAGAGTTCGAGAGGAGGATAAGGGTGAGCAGAGTGAGGAGATGATTTTTTTGCCTGCAGAGTGGATTGTCTAAGGTGTTAAAACTTGAGGAGATAGAATATGGGACCGTCAGATTCAAGCTCATGGTTTGCAAGTTGAAATTCGAGCAATATTAAAAATTGCAAGAGGCTGGTAGTGGTAGCTGTGCAAAGGACTGTGCTTGGGCGGTGTTGAAGTATTTGCGGTGCAAAGGGCAGTGTGGGGGCGGCTTACAGGTAGGTGAGTTGTGTGAGCTGGGAGAAGCTGTCAGGAATGCGACCATACAGCTTGTTTGAGGCAAGAGACCTGATGCTCATGTGGTGGTGTAGAGACAGCGCGGAAAGGATATGATAGAGAAAGGCAGGTGAACAATGCTTGGAGAACACTTGTAGATGGGCAGCTTTCGAGGGGGATCTGGGTGGCGTTTGACGGGAAGAAAGCAAGCACGTTGGCACTGTGGCTTGGTTGGGAGTATTAGTAGATTCCGAGAGTTCTCTCCATGAGGGAATGTCACATCACTGGAGCAGAATTTCTTGGAGCTTGTGAGCTGGGAGAGAGGTGACATGCTAGTGGCATGGCGTGGCGTGCATCAGCTTACAGATAGTACAGCTGGGTAAGGTTCCCAATGGTGTCAGGAATCGTTCCTTGGAGGAGATTCTGCTGGAGGGCACTGCAGAGCGCATGAAAGAAAGAGATTCGTGTGTGACAGGCAGACTCGTTAGGATCTGAGTGCGCAGCTATGTTGGCGAAAAACGCTCAGGGTAAGAAACAAATCGCGTATATTTGTTCGCGTGTTTACCGAAAATCGTGATACGCTCGGTCGGACCGCCTGTAAAAGAAGAAACAAAAAACAACCAAAAAAAAAACTTACATAACAATTGCACGATTTTGCGAGGCACGCCGAAAGTTGCCATCTTTCCCCTACCCAATGTCACACAGCCTCACAAGCAGCTGAACCTTGCGCGCTTTTGGTATTGCGGTTATCTTCCGTGACCAGATCCACGCGGATCTGGTATTGCGTGCCCACCACTGTGCCCAAAGATTTTTGTACCTGGCCGACACTCCGTATCCCAGAGTTTTCTGTACGCTGGAAATCATTATCCCAGACTTTATACGAGTACTGCATAGTGATATGCATTTCTTCCAACATAGGTGCACAGGCACTTTGCAGGAAAGGAAAACCACATTCATGGAATGGCCAGTGGAAGTGAGGATTACATGGTAGTCATGCCGATGAACAACACATAAGCTGGTGAAAGTGAGCATTACATGGTAGTCATGCTGATTGCATTGAACATAAGCTGGTGAGCACTTACATGGTATCTAAATTGGTGAGGGAGCCGATGGAGTCAGGGATGGATCCAGAGAGCTGGTTGCGAGCTATTGCACTGATTTGTGGTCAGAGGTTGGGGCGACAGGAAGAAGGTTGGTCCAATGGCACGAAAACGTGCTTGCGCTATTCGTGAGTGGTTCTTACATGCCTTGGAGATGGCCGAACGAAAGGAATAGAGGTATGAAGAGGGTTTGAATGAGAAGAAGGGAGCACATGGAGTTGACTACAATGGAGAACTAAAATTGAAAGGGGGGAGAAAGGAAGGAAGGGGCTCACAGGAGTGCGAGCCTTGAGAGAGATTGTATGCCCACTGGAATAGAGCCAGTGAGTTGATTGTTATCAAGAACCCTGAAGAAAAAGAAGGTCCATTGGAACGACATATACAGTTGAGTCGGTCGGTTGGGTAGTGGTTTGGTTCACTAATTGGGCACGTACAGGGAATTGAGATGGCCTGTTTTGATGCCATAGCAGAGGGAGAGGCAGCATTCATTAGTGGAAAGACAATGCAGAAGCTACACATTTGTTGCAAGAATAGGGGCAGGAAGTTACACAGGTCAATAAGAGGGGGGCGGATAGAACTGACAAAGCAGGTAGTGGGCGCCTGAGCTCAAGATGGGCAGGCAGCAAAAGTTGAATAATTTGGACTAGCACGTAGGGTATATCTAAGTTGGAATATACGCTACTTTCATTTTGCGTTTTGCGTTTATACTCTTGTCGAATTCGTACGTTGCGTATAGTTTGAAAATTCGCCGAGTTGAATTTCGGGCAGACCGAAAAAAAAAAAATCAATCTGAAGCTCGCGACGTGGCGATCTCAATTCCGAGTTGCAGATGTCGCGAAATGAACCCAAATTTTGAATTTCGAGCACCAAACCTCATCAACCCCTCCCCTCCAACGTTTCACACCCCTTTGAACCACTGCATTCCACCATCCCCTCCAAGTGCTACTTTACTGGTTGGGAGCTCAACCCAACCCAATCTCCCAGGCATAAAGAGAGGCGTTTGTTCCCTCGACATTCATTCTCTCGCTTCCTATTCTAGCTACCTCCTTTCCCAAGCCACCATGGCTTCCACTCCTACAGCAACCACTTCTCGTAAGCCACCCTCAGAGGCTCCTAGTAGTTCCGCTGGTGGGACCTCTTCTGTTACGTCTTTGGTCTGCATGAACAGCAAGCACGCAGTCTACCGCCACTTCAAGGTGCCGGCCAATAGCGTTGGCGAGAACGGCACCAAGGTGTGTGCCTACTGCAACTTCAAGTTTGTTGGCGGGGTTTACCGTTGCGCGCAGCATATCACCAGCTGGAACGGCATGCGCCGTCGCGAAGTGCAACTCTGCACTGCAGCGCCGAAGACTGCACGTGACGCCGTAAAGGCGCTTTACGAGTCCAAGTTGAAGGCCCGTGAAGCGAAGCGTGCGGCTGAAATTGCGGCGGTCGGCGCAGTCAACGGCGGAGGTTCGGACAAAAAGAAGAGTCGAATGACCGACTTCAACGGCGACGACGCCGCGTGTGCGAACCAAGCTGCGGACGAGGCCATAAGCCTCTTCTTCGCCGCTCTTCATGTGCCGAAGCATCACGCGGACCACCCACTGTGGCGGAATGTGGTCTCCAGCATCCAGCGCGCGGGGCCGAATTACGTCGCGCCGAAGAGACGCTAAATCGGTGGCGCCGGTCTTGCAAAGTGTCGCCAGCGCATTGAGGCGGCGCTCGCTCCTATCTCAGCAAGCTGGCGTCGTGACGGCGTCACCGTTGCAAGCGACATGTTCTCTGACAAGGCCGGCCGCCCGCAAGCCAATGTGCTCCTCATCAACGATAGCGGCGCCGTCTTCGTGGAGTCGATCGACACCAAGATGGAGATGAAGACCGGCGGCTACATCGCGAGCATCTTGCGCCCCGTCATCGAGAAGGTTGGCGCTGAGAATGTCGTCGCATTGTGTTTTGACGGCGGCTCCAACTACGCGGCGGCCTGCAGGGAGCTGATGACGGAGTATCCCCACATCGAACACATCCCTTGCGCGACCCATGTCCTTGATCTCCTAATGGAGGACATCGGGAAAATGGGATGGGCGAAGGACATCGTCACGCGCGGGGACACCCTCATCTCGTTCGTCCGCAACCATCACTTCACCCGCGGCTACATGCGGAGCAAGCTCGTGAACGGCGGCAAGGGGAAGCAGGTTCTGAAGCCCGCGGGAACTCGCTTCGGCACCAACTACATCGCCATCAACCGCCTCTGTGAAGTGCGCTCCGGCCTGACGCAGATGGTCCTCAGCAATGAGTGGGTCGAGTGGACTGCGGCTGCAAAGAGGGTTGGGGCAGATACTTTCAAGAGCAATATCCTCGATGACACGTGGTGGACGCGCGCGGAGTTCTTCGCGAAGCTGATTAAGCTCCCGTTCGTCGTCATGCGCAAGACGGACTCGGATGCAAAGGGCATGATGGGTCGTCTCTACGACCTCATGCTCCAGCTCACCGAGGACATCCGCGACTTCCTCGACGAGCACGCGGAAGGGGTCCTGACAAGGGGAAAGGTGGGAGATATTCGGAAGATCGTCCAGGACCGCTGGGACATCGGCCTGGCGTGCGACATGCACGTGGTTGGTCGCATCCTCAACCCTACCAACCAGGAAGAGGGCATCTTCCGCCATGACCTCGAGTGCACGAGGGTCTTCAAGAAGTTTGTGTCCAAGCACTTCGACGACCAGACCATCACCAGGAAGGACGGGGTCGAGCGCCGGGCCTCCCTCGTCATCCAGGAAGGCCTCACTGCCTTCCTGAACCTGACGGGCTGCTTCGGCATGCCCGACGCTATTGCCGACCGTGCGGCAGTGAAGGAGGGCAAGATGACCGCGGTGTTACAACACCCCCCCATCCCCACCTCTTACCCCAAAAAGCTGCCCGGGAAAAACTTTTTCCTGACCGGGCAAGCGTATTCTTGCGCGTACCAGACCCCGCATGGCCTGCGTTTTGCGTATATACTCTAGCGTACATACAAAATTGTACAAAACGCTAAACACGTTTTTTCCAACTTAGGGGTATATGCAACAGATTTCACTAGCAGTGTCCTGCAAGAGAGACTTGCAGATGCTAGGGCTAACTGGAGATGGAAACCATAGAATTGGCAGAGCCAGCATCAATGTGCTTCAGTCAGTCAGTCAGTCAGAGTGGCCCCAGATGCCTAAATTTGAAGCAAGGGAAGAAGCTAAGCGAGGTGAAATGTCATGACACGGATTTTTTTTTCCAGAGAGAGCTCGGTGGCCAGGTCTGTTATAAAAATTCACAAGTCATTTTGCCCTGATTGAAGCCCATGTTCAGGTTAGGTTGCTAGCCACGCGGCAAAAAGCTCATCTGAGCTCCGTATGTGTGCAAATTGAGCTGCGGCCCAGACACTGCTCAGGACTAAGAGTAAGAGCCTGGAACACAGACAGCATTGTGAAAAACAAGCTAGAAAAACATTGATGGTTTCCGGAAGGGTTCATACAAATTTTGAGGAGACCAGAGAGTGCAAGGAGAATGAGGGGAGGGGAGAAAATTGGGATGATGTGAGGCCTTACAGAGACACCAGAGATTGCAAGGTGCCAATGGTGGCAGGGATAGAGCCAACGAGTTGATTTCTGTGTAGATACCTGTGGTTGCACAGGGGTGATATTGTTACACACAAAAGACCTGGACAAAGCAGAGAAGTCGGCAGGAAACAACTATAAGACCCCTGCTAAATCACGGTATGGCATCAAGGTTATGAAGTCATCACAGCAGGTTGCAAGATCTGGAAGTAGCACTTGTTAATATAACTGCATGATCGGTTATAGCGTGATAAAAGGTACGGATGAAAAATGTGAAACGTTCTGTTCTGGGTTTAGAAGTTGCTGATCATAAAGCACACATGCTTCTCAGCTTCTCCTCTCAATCACACGCTCAAGGACGTCAGGTGTGCTCACAAGTTTTTGATTCGAGTGAGGGCAGTGAGGCTGGAAGGGATGCTGCCTAGTAGCTGGTTGGTTGAAAGGTCGCTGAGGAAAGAAAATGGTGGCAGGAATTGAAAGCATACTAAAAAATGATATGATGCATGGGAGCAAAAGGCATGGGCAGAACATTGTACATGAGCAAGCGAGCCGATTTAAAGGCTGGGTTGTTTTTCTTTAGCTAATTATGCATGCATGAGCTTTGAGTTGGAAAAAACTCGACCGAGCCGAGTCAAGTATACCACATTTCCATCAAGAAAATTGAACTGCATTGTTCAGCACTAAGGTTTTTGTAACTCGTCGAGGTTTTTAACAGGATTCAGGGTGTTGCAAAGGCAGGTGGTGAGAGGGGGTGTGCTACAAATGGGGGTGCTGAAAGGGTGTGTGCTGAAGGTTGTAAGACTCGAATGGCTGGGCGGGTCCGGGTTGGGGAGAAAACCAGCGGGAAACCAGAACTTCACACAGCATAGCATTTCCCCTTGCTGAGACAGCCAAACGTACCATAACTAGTAGCCCAGTTCGCCCATCCCGGGCTAGTTTACAGCTGTTGTAAAATCGAGCACGAACATGCTCGCCCTGAACATGCTCGCCCTGAACATGCTCGCCCTGAACATGTTCGCCCTGAACATGTTCACCCTGAACATGTTCGTGCTCGGGGCGAACAGGCCAACAGCACTTTTCCAGAAAATGTTTGGGGCGAACAGAAAATGTTTGTATTCGCCTCTTGCTCACCCCTACTTAAGGTGCATGTCACACTATGCTGCATCGTACAATCATACATGACTTTGTGACTGAATTGAAATGCTTGTTTCAGGGCAAGCCGGGCAAGGCACCCACTGCATGCATGTGTGCGAAGCTCACATGGAAGTTAGCTGGGTGAGAACACCGAAGCCTGCAGGGATGCTGCTGGAGAGCTGGTTTCTTGACATGTTGCTGAAGGGAGCACGACAAGTGCAGCGCAGGGGAAGCACCAAAGTTCAGGCAAAAGAGATGACACATGTTACAATCATGGACCCAGTCATTCATAAGGGAGATCCCTCCACCTGAAAGCCCTGGTTTAGGCGACAATGGAGGCTCACTGACGGATCTGTGGGCTCCTGTGGCTGGGGTGGAGGCCTTGAGTGGTCGGATCTGGGCTGACGAGCACACCACAAGACAGGTCTGAAGATTTCTCATGACTAGTTGGCAGCATGAGAGACAGAGCAGTGAATCCAGAAAGAGGTCGAGGGCGGCACTCACAGACCAACGAGGTTGCGCAGAGAGCCAAAGGATGGAGGGATGGGGCCAGAGAGATTGTTGGAATGAAGAAGCCTGAGAGGCGTGGTGGGGCATGGCGCGCAGTGCAGTGCACTCAAGGTGTTTCTTGGACCAGAAGAAGCAAAGCCGGGTATGGGATGAGATCCTGGGGAAGGCGAGAGATGTTGAATTTGGGAAGTGCCACTGAGGTTTCAGTACACAACACAACACAACACGGCATTATGAGTGCAGAAGTGGAGCAGGATGGAATTGTGTGCCCGTGGTGTTCATTGGCACAAGGGCAAGCCCGAGAGGGTGATACAGACAGATATGTCAAGCCAGCGAGAGAGCAGATGCAGTCCTGGAGGTGGTTGCGATGCAGGCATGAGCAAAATTCCGAAACGTTGTACGGTTCGACTTGACTCGAACATGTTCGAGTCCTATTAAACAGGGGTTTTTATCCCTTTTCCATAATGCCATACTCGAACGAACATGTTCATGTTCGGGTCAAACGATTCGGTTCGACTTGGCCAGGGTTAGCCAAGCCGCGGTGAACATCTAGTGTGAATAAGTTTGTATTGCACATTTCAATGTTTGAATCGACATAAGCGTGACTCAGTTCTTTCTGGTGTTATTTAGGGTCAACAATCTCATTCTTTTGAAACTTTGCCGACGCCAGCCTAAGCCTGTGCCATGCCCACTCACTCCCCCCTCCTGAAGTTGAAATCTAAGTTGGAATATACGCTCGGCTTCCAAGGCGTATTGCGTTTATACGCTGGCGTATAAACGCAAAAACGCGATACGCTTGAAATACGCCTGGATTTCGGGCGGGCAGCCCGTCGAAAAAAAAAAAAAAAACCGGAAATTGCGAGCTTACGATGCGGATTTATGTGTTGAATGTCGCGAACTCAATTTGGGCTCCCAAATTTCGATTTCGAAGGTTGTACAGCTTCCAACCGCATTGAAACTCAGTACACCTCTCAGATCCAATCTATCCACCCCCACGAAGAAATCCACGCACACAAACCAGGCACATGTACAATGGAGAGCTCGACCTAACCTAAGCATTCTTCAATTCCGTAGTCGACTCTCACACATCGCTTGCCAGAACTTTGCGCTAAGCTTCTTAACCCGCTGCAGTCATGTCTACTTGCTCAAGCAATCCTGCGAGTGCGAGTAGGTTCAGATTGCGTCTGCGGAAGGTTCCACCGCGCTGGTGCTTTGGGAAGATAGCGATGATGTCATTTTATAGCACTTCCGTCCTCATATCCGCGAAAATTCCCCCTCTCCAAAAAAATCCGAGGGGATAGATGTGGGTATAAAGCACCCCCTCCCCCTCTCCTCTCCAGAAAAAAAGGTATTTTGCCCTGCCCGGAAAAGTTTTTACCCTGCCCGCACCTCCGTATTTCAAGCGTATTTCGACATCCTCTTCAGACGTATTGCGTATTATTCTCTCGCGTATACACGCATGCGTACAAAACGCGATACGCGTATATTCCAACTTAGGTTGAAATCCGAACAGAACTTAAACATGCTTGAAGCAAACATGCACATGTCGCCATGAGCGCTAAGATGTTCCACTTTCATACTCGAACATCAAGACCTTGTATGCCAAAAAGGGTTCGACCCGAACCAAACATGTTCGCTTCGGCTTTCAACCATGCTCAACCCGAACCTGTTCATGTTCGCTTCTTGCTTATGCCTACATGCAGGCATTTGAACAGCGGGTGGTCATGCGTAACACAGTTTGTCACTAACAATGAACGACTCTGGTCATAACACAGTTTGTCACTAACAATGAACGACTCTGATCTGAAGTCGATAAGGATGGGTGGGTAGTATTCATGGTGAAGAAAAGGAGAGTCGAGAAATCTCGTGCCGAGATAAGCGAAGAGTAGTGAAGCAATGAGAGAAATACAACTTTGTACTAGAAGAAGAACAAGGGGATCATCCAGCCAAGGAAAATGTTGAGAACCAGTTCCTCGTCCTATCCAGCCAAGAAAAATGTGCTTTATTGGCACCTGGCTGTGCACAGCTCACAGGTTGGTCAATCGACTCAGATTGCCAAAACCGGAAGGGATGCTGCCTGAAAGCTGGTTGTATGAAAGGTCCCTGAGAGGGTGTGGATTAGGGAAAACACACGGGTTCGTGGCAAATTGAAAAACTCCACTGGGGAGTGGGGAGGCGAAGGAGGATACGGCAGACAAAGAGTAAAGCCCTTGTCGGGTCGGGTCTGGGCCAGCTGGCATGTCACACAACGCCCTAGTTCTATGCCAGGTTGAGGATTGCTCATGACTATCTGGCAGCATGAGACACAAAGCAGTGAATCCAGAAGCAGGGCAAGGGTAGCACCCACATGCCATAAGGTAGCCCAGTTCTCATCCCACAAAAGTCACAAGCTTCCCTGAGGCCGTAGCAAAATCAGCCCATGAAGACCCTAAACTCTAGCCCTAATTGAAGAACATACTGGCTAGTCAACCACTGTCAGAACGTCCTGATTTGGTCAGGGAGTGGGCTTACGAGAAACAGAAAGCCTGAGATTGATAAGTCTCTCTTTTTTTTTTTACCTAACTTTTGACCCGCACAACCCGACTCGCGCGGGTTTCCGCTTCGACGAGGACCGGGTTGCGATTTTTAATCAGTTTATTTATTTTTTTCAATAGCGCCGTACCCCTTAGGTAGATAGACACAGCTTGGCAAAAAAGAAAAAAAAAAAAAAGTAAAGCCGATCGAAATGACGAGCCTGTTTGATAGTGAACCAATCAGCATAAATTGAGCTGCGAACCCAAGTAATGCCGTGGTTTGGTTTGAACCGATGCATCGAGCCAAACTGCGGTTTGGTTAAATGCCCATGTCCAGCACAAGGAGGCAATAGATGGAGAGGTTGTTGGAAACAAGAAGCCTGAGTGGTGTGGTGGAGCATGGCACCCAGAGAAGTGACCTTAAGGTGCTATTTTGACCGAAAACAAGTAAGACATTTGGAAAGGTGACTGAGAACAAGGCGAGGGACATTGAACATGGAAGTGCCCAAAAAGTGTTAGTACACAACAAATGCATACACAGCATCTCGAGTGCAGAAGTGCACAAGGATGGAATTGTGCACTTCTCATTAGCAAAATGGCAAGCACGAACAAGAGGGTCATACAAATTTGACAAGCCAGTGAGCGAGGTGATGGAGTCGGGGATGGGTCCAGAGAGCTGGTTGCGTTGCAGGTATCTGAACGGTGGGTGATCATGTTATGACACAGTTTTTCCATAACAATGAACGACTCTGATCTGATCTGAAGTCACTGACGATAGCCAAGGGTGGGAAATACTTATGGTAAAGGAAAGGAGATTTGAGGAAATTTCATAAGAAGAATGGCGATGAGAAGTGAAGCAAATAGAATATCAGTTTGCGATGCAGCACGGAATCCACCAAAGGGGACCAAATGCTGGTTTTATGTAGGTTCTGGGGCGTGGGTACTCTTTCTTGGCACCCAGATCATCCTTCTACGTCATAATTTAGCTCACAGGTAAGCTAATCGTCCCAGAGTGCTGAAACAGGAAGGGATGCTGCTTGAAAGCTGGCTGTCTGAAAGGCCCTTGAGAGGGCGTGGACTATGGGCTCATTGCCGAATAGAAATCTCCACAGGGAAGGTGAAGGGGGGAGACACGGCAGGCTAGGGCAGTCGTGTTTTTGACTCAAATGTGTGGGCAGGGATCAAGGCGAGGCGGGCCAGGCAAGAAACGCTCAGGTCGAGCCTCACTCGACTCTCCTCCATACTCGACTCAGGCAGCCCACAACGAATTGGTTAATTCTCGTCTCGTCAAGTCCCAATGTCTAGAATAAGACAAATAGTATAATGGGGTAGACGGAATTGGTGTTAAGGTGAACAGGACCCTCACAGACACAGCTGCGTCAGATGACGGAGAGGGGAGAGGCGAGAGGGGACAGGAGAGAGGGGTGAGCAGTGAGGGGAGGAGAGAATGGAGATAGGTGAGGGCGAAAAGGAGAGTGACGGAGGAGAGGGACCTTACAGCGAGCTCAGTTTAGAGAGCAAGCCAATGGCAGCAGGGATGGAGCCAGTGAGCTGGTTGGTGTGGAGAGCCCTGCTTGAGGTAGTAGGCGCAAGAAACAAGGAGAGTCGGGAAAAGAGAGCCAGCCAGCTTAGTATGTGGCCTGTTGATCGGAAGGTAAACGATCAATAATGACATAAGGGGGTGGCATTGAATGGGCAATCAAATTGGTATACAAGCACGTTCTGAGGAAGGTATAGTCGGTGTTTGCTAGCACAGCGAAATCTATGTCTAGTACCTACCTAGAGCTCTGCTGGGTGACAAAAGGACGCAGTATCTGTTTTGCTCATGTATGGAAGAGACTAGAGCAGAGCCTGTTCCTATGCAAGGTTGCGCATCTTACAGAAATACGAGATCTGTGAGACTACTGATGGAGGAGGGCAAGGTTCCTGACAGCATGTTGGAGCGGAGAGAGCTGACAAGCAGACCATGCGGAAGGGAGGGCGGGTTTGGAGGCACAGTGGTGGGAGGAAATGAGAAAAGAAAAGGAATGGGAAGAGGGAGAAGAAAGTGCGAATCAATTTTGGCAGCAAGGCTTTCTTCGTAAACTGGGACTAAAAGAAGGCGAGAGATTCATACGGATGAAAAAAACGAAACAGAGAAGACAATAGAAGAGTAGGGATTACAGGTATGCGAGTTTGGTCATGGAACCAATCTCAGGGATCGAGTCAGAGAGCTTATTGTTGTAAAGGTATCTGAATGGAAGAACACAGAAGGAAATGAGATACAAGGAGGGGGAGAAGGGGCAGTGAGCAGAGGAACAAGGAAATGGACTAACGAAGCCCACATCGCAAACTTGTCTCACCCGTACACGTTGGCTGACATACATGGTAGGCATAAGCATGGGCCAACCGTCAAACAAGACAAGAACCAGCCTGGTATGCGGGGCCAATCCCAGTCCGGCTTGAGCTGATCCAGGTCAGCATGAGAGAAGGCTGCCGTCTCGCAAGCCATTCTTGCTCCTGTTTCAGTCATTTCTGCTCCTGTGTCAGCGATTCTTACTCCTGTTTCAGTGATTACTGCTCAAGTTTCAGCCATTCCTGTTCCTGTTCCTGTTTAAGCACGCATTTCTCCAGCCAGATCATTGGCAGGCCACTGCAGCCACTCATGTTAATCGAGCCATTTGAACTACTTGAGCCAGGCCCCGCTCAGAGCACTTTCTACCACAAGCCAAACGCGGAACATGGGTTGTCAAGCGAACAAGAAAAACATGGGTGAACTCGTTGGTGCTGGTCGGCTTGTAGCTTGTGCCTGGAATTGACTGTATACATGGGCAAACGAGTCGAGTTTTTCGTCGACTCGTTCGAGCGACTCGAAAAGCTCGAGTTTCGAGTTCTTTTTTTTTTGTCTAAAAGTGCTTACTCGTCACAAAGTGGGTTGATGTATCGAGCGCTATGCTACGATGTGAAAGGGAAGCAACGAGTACAGAAATGATCCTTTAGGAAACGAAGAGAAAGTCGGGCTAACCGAAGTGGAGACGAGCATGCTAAAAGCTGAGAAAAGGAGAGGTGAATCAAGTGTTATGAAGGGAGCGAAGAACCAACATATGACACAAGATCACGACAAAGTGATAGAAAGCGGACACGAGCCCAAAAAATGGGCATAGTGAGAAAGTTCAATCAAGGGCAGGTAGTGATGTGATTGAGGGCAAAACGAATGGGAGAGTAGACAAGGGAACATTACAAAACGGGACACAGCAGAACAGAAGAGAGCGACTGTAAAATGAAGTGAGTGGACGAAGGTAGTGCATACGTTGGTTCTGTGCCACATGGCTTGTAGCGCAGAGAAGGTGTTTATCAGAAAAGGCATGAAAGGACATACAAGGATACAAGAATAAAAAGAGATGGGAGAAGTTTGAACAGAAAAGAAAAAAAGGGTTACAAACAGAGAGAAACAGCAGGAGATGCACAAACAGCCTGACATGCTACACAACAAGAAGTGGAGAGGTAAGGGGCTTACAGGATAGCAAGTCTGGTCATGGAACCAATCTCAGAAGGGATGAGGCCAGAGATCTGATTGCTATTGAGATACCTGAATGGAGCAACACGGAGAGGAGATTGTTAGAATTAGGCTGTCCAACACTTTGTGTACTATATTCTGTATCGCGTAGGTCATTTGTGGGTTGGGTGTAGTTTGTAATCCCAACCCTATCTGGTTGGGATTCCCTCGTAATCCTGCAAATCTGCCAACTCACCAATTGGAGATTTGCTGGGATTCCCATCCCATCCTTTCCCTAGCCTTGCCCAACCCAACCTCGTTTGTACTTAAGGCCTAGTGCCTTCTTTACTAATCAATCAGTTGAGCTTCGTTTCTATCATGGTATCAAAGCTAGTAAGCTCCGCTCACGCGGAATCCGATCCTTGGCGTCGCGATCGTTTCTCTTCCTCTCGGCTATGGCGTTTTCGGTTCCCACCTTCCCCGCTTAGCGTTTTTCGCCTTCCCATCTTCGCGCTGGTCAAAAGCGCTTTCCCGCTCCGTCTCCGCGCATTTCCGATTTCAACGGCGGCACATTTCTCCTTCAATTTCCTTCATCGTAAGCTCTGGAATTTCAGATTTCCGTGGCAAATTTCTCACATTCTTAACTTCGAGCAGGTTTCAGCGGCGCAGCAGAGCAGGTTCAGCGGCGCAGCAGAGCAGGTTCAGCGGCGCAGCAGAGCAGGTTCAGCGGCGCAGCAGAGCAGGTTCAGCGGCGCAGCAGAGCAGGTTCAGCGGCGCAGCAGAGCAGGTTCAGCGGCGCAGCAGAGCAGGTTCAGCGGCGCAGCAGAGCAGGTTCAGCGGCGCAGCAGAACAGGTCAGCGGCGCAGCAGAACAGGTCAGCGGCGCAGCAGAACAGGTCAGCGGCGCAGCAGAACAGGTCAGTGGCGCAGCAGAAAAGGGGTCATCGGCGAAGCAGAGCAGCAGAACAGGAATCGCAATCTTCTTGCCGACATCGCGTTTTTCCACGTTTCGGACTTCATCAATTTTCAAAATTGCCGCTCCGTACATCACATCACTCCGCTCCGCTACGTATCAGTGACTTTAGCGCTGCGCTTCGCGCGAATGGCAACTTCAAC